AGGTAGTGGATCGGGAGTGTGATCCTCCTCAAGAATCTATCATCTCAGCAGCAAGGACTGGAGAGACTCTCGAAAACGAAGATCAAAGATATTCATTGCCCAATCATAGGCTTGACTGGCGTATTCAGTCTCTTTTTTTCACGACCTCTGTTCTGCTTTCTCAGCATGGGCTCTCTCGTCATCAAAAATGTTGTAGTTATTCGATTTTCCCTTGCTTGCTGACCCATCGTCTCAAACTTGACCCAAATTTGATCAATATTGTTCTCATGGTTGTTTGGGTACGTTCCGCCCCAGGCAAATCAAATTCTCTTACTCTCACAGTAAATTTACCGCCCAACGAATGAAATATAACAGTAAATTGAATCATCTGCCCGGCGGGCCCTTGCTCATAGCTCCCGCTACATTTTACCGTACCATACTTGACAATAGAATATTGTTTATGTTGGAAATTTCGCGGGTATTTGGGGACCCGCGGGTACATCGAGGACCCGCGGGTAACCCGTACGGGTTTTATACCCGATCTGTACACGGGTACGGTTTTTGCGGGTCCGGGTACGGGTAGGCCTGAACGTACCCGCGGGTATACCCGTGTCCATCCTTAGTTTCTCACCGATTCACCTGAAACCTAGCTGGAAATCTCGGACCAGGGGCATCACATTCCAGCATAAGAGAGAGGTTGCGCAGCAGCCATTGGAGCCATTGGAGCCATCCAATGGCTAACAATTTCGGCCCAACCAGCAATATGGCTCCAACTCTCCAATGGTCGTTGCAGAATGTGTTAGCATCAATTTCCTGCAGCTAACTGCGGGAATATCTGTGGAGCTCATGCCAAACACGTCATTCTAGGAGCCAGCCATTGGATGGCTCCAATGGCTCCTGCGCAACCTCTTTAATATGCTTGAGAGACTCAAGCACTCCATATGTTTGACATTGTCCCAGCATCTCTAGGTTAGGCACATGGTCCCTGTAGGAGCCGATGTGGAAGATATTGTGTATGCATTTCCAAAGAAAATTCCGAGAGAGAAGATGGATATTGTTGTATCTAATTGACGTCCGTATAGAGCTATCAGCGTGTGGAATAATTTAAGTAATAGTATCCAAGTCGCGTGGTGCAGCAAGTACAAGTCCAAGTCACAGTCGTGTCCTGCTGTGATCTTACATCAAAGTAAAAGATCTACATACAAGGTCCTAAGAATACAAAATACAAACCCAGTCCATAGCCAAAACTAAACACAGACACAAGGAAAAAATACAACAACAAAAGTAATCATATCATGAACAGGTCGTTAGGGTAAAGAGCGAGCAAGTGCGTCTACACGTGGGGCTACATACGATGGGAGTAGCATGTAAGTAAGTACTACGTACAGGGAAGAAAGGAGTCCATGTAAATATCATGCGATACAATGGAATGGGGTCGAGTTGAGTCGATGGTCGTGAAGTGAAGTCAATTAGTGGTGGTGGTGGTACACAAATCAGATCGCCCCCCTCGGAGGCGACATCTATAGCCCCGAAAAACAGGAACGCCCACACTCGGGCACGAACATCTCCTCCCCCTTCCGTTCCCTCCTTCGCTCCCCACATCGTTCTCTCCATCCATATTAGGAAGGAACGCATACGCCAGCACGAGGAAGGGAGCATGGAAGAGAAACAGGAGGCAAGAGAACTACGCCAACGACCTCACATACCCCACAACGACCTCCGCCCCCCCAAGCAGACTCGCGCTCATCCTCCTCGCCATCACCGCCGCCCTAGGCCTAATCGGCCTCCGGTGCCGAACGCGGTCGGCGACGGCGACCCACGGCCACGGCGCACCCCAGCTCGCCGGGCCCGCCAGCCACCTCTCGCCCAAGTGCGAGGAGGAAGAAGAGATGGAGACGAGCCGGTCGCGCAGACGCCCGAGGCGCGTGGTGACCACGCCGCCCCACACGTACGGTGCGAGGGGGACAGCGGCGGGGGAGGCAGAGCGCGAATGCTGCGCCAAGGAGCGCGCGTCGGGGTAGATGTCTGGCGTGAGCGGGTGCTTCTCGCTGGTCTTGGCGGCCTTTCCTGCCTTGTAACGTCGGATAAACCCCGCGACGCACCCCTTGAACCACATCGCGTGGAGGGGGAAGACGAGCGCTAGTAGGATGGCGGGGAATCGTGGTACCGCGGTGGAGGGCGGGAACGCGTACGAGAAGAGCAGGACGAGGTGGAAGAGGATGCGCGTAGCGAGGAAGGTGAGGGCGAAGAGGGTGTTGGAGCGGAGGATGGGGAGGAGGGTGGAGGCGCCGAGGAGGAAGGTTGGCAGCTGCGCATTGCGTGCGTCAGCATCGCACGCGAAGGAGGACAGGGAAGGGGAGGGGAGAGAAAGAGGGGAGACACGCACCTCCATAACGGCACACAAACAAAAGATATGCGGCCACGCACAACGTATCGCGATCTCCACGATGCCGAGGTACACGACGTGGTGAACCCACCCCGTCAGGAAATTGATCTGGGCGCGGTAGAACAGCCCGCCGACGATCATGTCCGCGCAGAGGTACGCCTGCGAATGAAAATAATCATATCAGCAATCATTCAAGAGATAAGGAGGGAAAAGATGAGCTGGCTGGCACACACCTGAAAGAACCGATTAACAGCTACCGCCGCGTCCACGCGCATCTGCACGCCCGCGACGCCGCCGCGCGTAGCGTAGTCCATGATGAAGGGGAGGGACGAGAGGGTCATGAACGCGCTGGCGATCGTCGTGAGGACCCACGCACGCTGACGCTCGGAGGGGAAGCGCGGAGCGAAGACAGGGTACGCCGCGCAGAGGGTGACGAGCGCGGGGAGGAACACAGGCGCCGTCGCAAGGTCGAGATCGACTGAGTCGCCGCGCAGGAGGAGCGTGCGGGTAAGATCCGCTGGCATGCTCCAGCTCATATTGGCTACGACCGCGTCGAGCATGGGTGGTGGGGTGGCTTGCGACAGACACCCACGCACCGCGGTGCAGCTGGGTTGTTAAATGGCGCGATGCGGCCGCACGTTCGTTTGTGGCAAACCTGTCTTATCAACAGCAGAAGACCGCTGTACCAAGGGGGATATACGTCCGTCCGTAAATGTCAATCGTGGACGTGTGCGGCGCTTGCGGTCCGAACGACGAACGTGGGCGGAGGGGTCTTGGCGCTAGCGCATTTGTGGACTTGTACGCATTTGTGGCCTCGGAGACGAAGGCCGCCGCGTTGTGGAGGCGGCGGAGCACAAGAGGAGTCACTGAGAGTCTCGCTGTTGATGTCGGGGCTGTGAAGGTGTGTAGATTCGGAATGGAGTCTATCTGCAAAGAAGGTCCCCGTCACATCGCATCCAACGCCAAAGTAGTGCGGACGCCGTGAATTCCTGCTTAGCAGTAAGTAACCCTCCTTCCTCGGAACTCGGACCTCGTTGTGTACCCCCTTGACGCGCGTCGTCTTCCCTCGTGCGCGATTATGTCTCGCTACGAAATCCGGTATTCATCGAAATTAAAAGAAATCATGTCCAAGTCCGCGGGCAACATACGCTCGTTTGTGCGCGCGTGTACTGCACCCTGCACCCTTACCGTGAAGCTCTGCATAGGCCGAACAATCAGCAGCTTATCCAGGTCTCTCGAATCGGATTTTGACTGACAAACGTGCTATCCATACTGTAACCTTATCCTGTTTCCGTTCTTCCTTCTTCCTTTTTCCCCGATTCGACGACGGCAACGGCTTCGAAGTCGGAGTCGTGGGTGGAGAGCGAGGAGCAGCGAAGATGATTATAGTGGCCACAAGAGGAAAGGAAAAGAAAGGGAAAGAGACGAGTAAATGACGTCAACAACGACGAATGTTCTTGCCGGCACCGAGATGCAGTTTGATGCGCCCGTTCCGCCTGGTGATCTGTTGCAAAGTTGTGTCACGACGTAAGTATCATACATAACCCTCACTATCTCCGTAGTCTAGTGGTAAGACGTCTCTGCTACATGGCTAACTCATGGCGGACTCTTTAGAGGGAATTTCGAAGGTTCGAGAATTTTTTCTGCTATTTCGATTTTCTGTCCGCTTGTCCCTCGTTCCTTTTTGCTCAACCTCCGATTACAGCTGTTTGCAAAACTAATGACACCTCATCATATTTTGATGAATAAGAACAATTTTGATGTGCAGGATTGCCGAGCTCGTTTCTCGCCCATTTCTCAACCATTTTGCCTGATTTTAGGTGCGTTCGAGAGCGGCTGAACAGGGCTTCGAATTCGTACTAGACACAGGGGGTAATTCACCAAGATCAGGATCTTCTATTTTACCATTACCCGATTCAAACCACACCTTGAATTGACCGTTACTCGGTCAATTTTGAGTCAATTTTGATGATGTTGGATTCATCTGAATTGGGTTTTGGAGGCACAGGCTGCGCACCTTTGTTATTTTGGTTATATGTCAAAATCAGTAGTGTAGAATGAATTGATGATAGCATGGAGTAATTTCATTCTTGATGCTGAAGGTCGGGTGTGCCACATGTTGTGATGTTTCACACTTGGTTGCCGCTATTTCAGCTTTCAATATCATCTGGATTCAAGGAAATCCGCTCAGAATTGATTAAGAACGGGCCATTGGCGTGTCCCGTTTGAATTACAGAGCCGGAATTTTCAGATGTGCAATTCTCGCGAGGGACTTGGTATAAAGGGTACGGATTGAAAGCGCTGCTTAACTGCTTTCAAATGCACCTAAAATTATGGTAAACGGTTGAGAAATGATTGAGAAATGAGCTCGGCAATCCGGCGCATCAAATTTGTTCTTATTCATCAAAATTTGATGAGGTGTCATTAGTTTCGCAAACAGCTGTAAGTCGTGAGGCAACGTATGTTTAATTAGTGTTCCACCACTTGGTTTCACCTCGGTTTCAAAACTCTCTGAACCTCCTGTATACCAAAAGTCCACAGGTAAATGATGTGCCGAGATGCAGTTGGATGCGCCGGTGATCCGTGGCCATTGGAAAGTTGCGTCACATCGGAAGTATCATGCGAATGTGGGATTGCCTCTGTAGTCTGACGGTAAGACGTCTCTAAAATTTGGGCTATTTTGAATAGTTTGAGGAGAAGTCGAGGGTTTGAGTCCTTCCAGAGGCATTCTGTAGCCATTGGAAAGCTTTTGTTACATTTTCTTCATTCACTTTTTGTTTTTTTTTGTGCTGCTTTTCTGTCCGAGTTCTCATTCACTTTCGCTCAGATACTTACGCCCAGGGCTCTGCTGCAGGATTGCAAAGTTGCTTCTAGTGGTAAGACATATCTGCCTTATAAATATCCCTCTTGTTCCCGTACCTTTACAGATAAGTCGAGGGTTTAACTCTCTCCGGAGGCATTTAGTTGTTCGTGTATGTTTTTGACTTTTTCTTGATTCTCCTCAACTTCGATCATGAATAGTTATCATCCTGTGTGGATCTAGCCATATGCTTCTGTAGTCTAATGGTAGGACATCTCCGTGAATGTGAAAAGCTAAGTTGTAGCGTTATGGAGGAGTCGAGGGTTCGAATCTCTCCGGAAGCTTTTTCCAGGAACACATCCGTTTTTCCTTCCATTTTGCTCAACCTTTGATTCCCTCCACTACCAGCAAGGTTTCAATTATTTTTTGTGACTGTCTGGTTTACAACCTTTTGAACCTCTGCAAGGAAAGTCAGGTTGAGAAAGGACATTCACCCTCCGTTGCATTGCACGGAATCTTTCTCAGCTTCATATCTTGTCTTTGGTTTGTTTTATATCCATGCATATCTGACTCCTGGACCTGCATCGATTCGATGTTTTCTTGGTCAGAATCAGGCCTCCGTAGTGCAGTATAGCAAAGGCGCATCACAGCGGAAACATCATGAATATGGTTCATTGCCTCTGAAGTTTATTGGTACGACATCTCTGCCATATCATTTGCACTTGGAAGTTTTACGGAGAAGTCGAGGGTTCGAATCCCTCCGGAGGCATTATGGTAATTCAAGAAGAGCCTTTTTAACGAGATTTTGTTCGCTTTTTTGAATCTTTTGCTTATTTTCTCTCTGTTTCACGCACCATCTGTCCGTCTGGTCGGTTTCACAACTTTGTGAACCCTCCTACCAGATGCCAAATATTCCCTGCCCGTGCCGAGATCGTGATGCAGTTTGATGCGCCAGCTCCGCCCGGTGATCGGTGGCCATGCAAAGCTGCATCACAGCAGGAGCATCATGGCTGTGCAGATGATAGCCCCTCAGTCTAATGGTTCGACATCTCTGCCATATAAGCAATGAAGGGTGACGTTTTACGCAGAAGTTGAGGGGTTCGAATCCCTCCGGAGGCATGGTAGATCCATCTTCATTTCTCTTTCAGGTTGCCCCTCAATCCTTTTTAATTAAACCTTTGCCTCCAAAGGAAATCCATTAATGTTCCATTCCTTTGTTTCACCCACCCTCTGTCTTTTTCAAACCTTTGTGAACCTCTTGTCTTCGCCGTGGTTTGCTTGGGTGTCGCACGCGCCTCCCTGCCTCCCACTACTTACCACATGTACGGCTTTTCGGCCTCAGTTCCTCTGAATTTCAATATCTGATGAATAAACTTGAGACTTATTCCCAATCCCAGCGGCATGTCTCTTTTGATTACTTTCGGATTGCAGACCTCGGCGTAACACCGATTTTGTGGGCTTGTGACCAAGGCGGCGCGACAAATTAATTGGAGGATGATAACACAAGTGAGGAGGGAAATTTTCTCTCCAAGGCTCGCACCTCCAGCGAACTCTCGTAAACAGGTGTCTGCTGGTTCTTAATTTTTAGAAGCTGTCTGATGGCACCTCGTCACAGCCACATGAGTATATTCAAGAGATAGGTAGGTATTTATACAAGTCTCTACATTGTATGCGTCCCAATAGAATAATAAATGGCTGTGAATAGCTGTGCACTGCATACTGGATCATAGATTGAAATGGAGCTAGACAATAAGTAGAATGGAGAGGACAATAAAATAATACATTTCTGAAGGCACTGTAATTGCTGTGCGGAATGGAGACACGATCACGGGTTGTACTTCCAACATCGATGCCGTGAGATATAGCCTCTTCCGATGCCACCCGTGACCTAGTACACACTCAAGCAAGTGGCATTTTCATTACGGGTCGAGAACAGTGTTATGCTTGGGTTCCTAGCGGATAAAAAAGACAAGAAAGTTTTGAGGTACGGTAGCCACAAATAACCCGAAGTAAGAACCAAACCAAACCAGAGAAAAGGCGAGGGAGTGGTCGAGGAGAAGAGCAAGATGCGAGTGATTCCCCATTGGGCCTTCTTGATGACGCAGAGAGAAAAGAAAAATAAGAGGGCCTTGAAAAGCGAAAGATTGAGAGGAAAGGATATACGTCCGTAGATGCTGCATATGAGCAGCATGGGAGAAAACAAAGAAAAAAGAAAATTCTAGAACGGTATATTGTTAGTTGATCATCATCATCGATAATAAGCGAAAAGAAATGTGCCAGGCAAAGATTGAAGACCAAGAGCAAGGACATATGGTCCTATGGAGGGGGGGAACGAGGCAATGAAATGACACAGGTATAAAAGGTATCAAAAAGGTATCCGAGATAACTAGAGGACGTACACGATCATGGAAAGCGCAGGGAAAAGTACTTACGGGGGAGTGAATGAGGATGATGGGGGTTCGTGCCAGTCATCTCTCCTCCTCGCATTATAATCTTATAATCGCCGATCGTCACCCACCAGCGTGCGACTGAAGTCGGCCCCAAGAGCGCTGATTCCTCGGGATGAGGTCACCATCGCAGCGAGCGCTGGCTCTATGAGGAAGATTCATATGATCCCAACCTCGTTTCCCGACGTGCGGTGGGGCACAACCCCACGCTCCCGTCCAGCAGTTCGGGCGAGAAACCCGTATTAAGCCATGAAGTTGGCCTGTACCGATAATATTCATCAATAATACCACTCCTAAGGATCCCACCTGGATTTCCGATTCCCATCGCACGCATGCTAAGGAGGTCAGGGAACGCACCGGATATCAATCAAGCCTGGCATGCGAATGCTGATATTTTAGATCCGTTCATCTATATATTTCCTTCTAAGAAAACATGATCCTTGACACTGACAGATCTAGTGGCCCGGCACGTGTGTTCATGGGAGCCAGGCAATGAATTACTGTCATCACCGATGTCGATCCCCTCTCTCCGCCTTTCCCTCATGTCCGAATACACTGCTGTGTCGACTATATTTCCCGATTATTGGAACCTCATGCTCGTTATGCTCTGGAAAGCATCCGTACGTGGCTCGCAATGTCCCAGAGGGTCAGTTTTTTACTAAACGACACCCAGATGTCGCTTCCTCTCTACGGTTTGTTGGCGATGAATATTTGTGGATTTTACACCTGACCCCAAAGCTCAGGAATACTCTTCGTTCTTTTCATCCTCGCGATCCACACTCTCTCTAGCCGTAATATGCTATCCTATTTGCAGCCACCTGGGTCATATTCGTTGTGGGAACCACACGACTCGTGCTGCTTCTCGTGCACACAGCCATGTCAGTATATGCGGTGCATGAAAGCATTCAAAACCCTGCGGGCTTAAATCCGGTCCGCCACCTATTCTTTGCCCTGGATGTGGCACAAAATGTTCTATTTGCACTCAATGTGTGAGCGCCAAGCTGTCTATATTCCGCATCCCTCGAATTCCTCGAATTTATAGTCTAGTCGCGGATCTGCTCTTTGTTCGTCCCTTCTCCTAGTACATTGATTGACTCCGTTGACGATAAAACGAAGCTGTGGCGCTGCTATGTGATCTGGGGAAACCAAAGGAGTGTTGTTTTTCTTCCCGGATTGTCCGTCGCAGCGACGGCTGGTGAGTATTCTACTCCACACGTGTGCGCATCAATGAACATACCGTTTTACACTGAAGCGGTATCGGTCGGTTACTGCGTAACCCTGCGCGGCAGTGCCGGACCCGTGTCTAGGCTCGACCACACGTCCGCTGTTGACCCCAGAATCCCTTTCATCCTGGGGGTCTTCACGAATCTTGTTCTGATGGCTCTAACTGGTACATAATTTTCATATGCGGGTTAATACACTAATAGAATCAGCCGGGCGAATATGGTGGATACGGCAGCAAGCTCGCATGGTTTGTGGTCGTGAAAACATATTTGAACGACGCTACGGCATGGCACTCACACTCATGTACGTCAGGAGACAAGATCCCGTTTTCGACTGACATCAGAATAGACTCGAATCCGGGGCCCTGTATTGCCTGTGCGCTATTCTTGTGGCAATTTTTAAATCACCTAACGCTTCATTGGTCGCGGTATCCATTCCGGCCTTTCTCACAACGCGCACAAATGTCTCACAAGCGTTATAGAGCGCAATATTCGACGCCGTTGGAAATCAAGGGGTTGTAGGTCCATATCCTTTTTTGCGATCCCAGAATTTCTCACTATTCTTTTAGAATATATTACCAACCTTGATTGTGGTGCGTATTGGCCTAGGGCACAACATCCAGGACACCATCCAGGAATTTGCGCGTGCCCCACACTGGCAAACTGCATGGCCGAAATAAGTTCAAGGGAAATGCCAGACTGGGCGGAACAAGGGGCGCGTTGTAGATAATCATACAAGGCTCAGTCAATCAAAGCAGAGTTACCATAAACAAATCTCTGGTTCGCTGTACGACTGCAGAAACGTAACTGATTATTGCAAGTATAATTCACTGGTTCGCTTGAGCCAATACATTGTTAATGCAATCAGCACTTGCGAACGTGCACCGATATCATGTCTATGAGGCGATTCAAGTTGGATTCGCAAACAGGATTTTTCAGTGGATCCATCGAGAATGATGTGCCAGACGAAGACTCAAGGCAAAGAGCAAGGATATTTGAAGAGGGAGGACAAGGTAACAAAATGAGACAGTTATGAAAGGTAACAAAAGATATCCCAGATAACTAGGACGTAGCCGGCCTCGAAATAACGACATGGAAAGCGTAGGGAAAAGTACGGGGGAAGGGGAGGGAACGGGGATGACGAAGGTTCGTGCCAGCTCTCCTCCTCCCACCACAATCGCCGATCGTCACCCTACCAGGATAGCGCCCGAGTCTCCAGAGCGCTGATTACTCGGGATGAGGTCACCATCGCTGAATCACAGCGAGCGCTCGCTCGCACCATCAGGAAGATTCATTCATTCCCGACCCCGTTTCCCGATGTGCGACCGAAGTCGGCTCCAGTCTCCAGAGCGCTCATTACTCGGGATGAGGTCAACATCACTGATTCACAACGAGCGCTTGCTCGCTATGTCAGGAAGATTCACTCATTCCCGACTCCGTTTCCCGATGTGCGGGGCGTTCCCTCCCTTCCAGAATCGACTCAGACTCCCGACGAGTTATAGCGAGAGAGTCATGAAATGGGCCAAGCGACGGCCATGGGGACGAAAGAACCGAATAGCTAGAATCCGGGCATCGCCGACACGGCACCTTGCAGCGGCTGCGAAAGCGAAAGCGAGAGCATCGAGGCGGTAAGCACAAGTCATCGGAAGGGTGCCAAATGTGAATGAATGGAGCTGTGAATCCGGCAGAACAAGCATCGCCAGTGTCATCCTTGGAGGGCGTTGTGGAAAGAAGCCTCAGAACGCCAGTGGACAATGGCGCGGATAGCTCGGGGTTCCTGGCGAACGCTAGGAGATGCCCCAGGTGCACGATGTGAACTGCTAAAGCCTCCCGGCGCGACAGGCGAGCGGGCCCACGGGCCACACACCGAGGTGCAGCAGCTCGACCATATTAGATTGTTTGCGCAACAGCCATTGGAGCCATTCAATGGCTTTTTGACGTTGCGCAAACTGATGGCTCCACCGCCAAAAAATGATGTCAATGGCTTCGTGGAGCCATTCACCTGCCATTTCTGCGCAACGCCAGACAGCCATTGAATGGCTCCAATGGCTGTTGCGCAAACGATCTAATAGACACTAGGACTGTGAGACGCGTCACGC